TCTCGTCCAGCGGAAGCCGCACGCCCACAGAAGCCCCCAGCTCCTGGTCTGGGTCTGCAACACAGAGCTCTACCCCTGGCTTGTCTACCGAGAGGAGCTCAGTTTATTCTTGGAGAGATGATGTATGTCTCAGAGTATTTTGGGTAATCTTGTAATTACAATTTACAATGACAAATTGCTTCCTTTTGTTCAAAAAGTCTTTTTACCAATTATAAAAACAGTACCTATTTTACCAATTATAACAATGTTACCTATTATATAGCAACACATACAGACATATAAAAGCATTTACATATTACATGTAAAAATATTAAAATAGCTAAATATAGAGAAAAATAAAAATCAGTCGTAATGTCGTAGGGCAGTCTCAGCTGTAGATAGTTTTGTTTTTTTCCACACCCCAACCCTGCCCCGATAAAACGTTCCACATGACTTGTATGGTGTCTGTGGCTGGAAATTCAGGATAAACGTTGATAGACAATGAAGAACTCCAAATAAAACTGTGAAACGCCACCATGATTAGAGCATTTCCGCCCAATATCCTAAGTCAGATACTTCACCTTTACTGTCTAACCCTGGCGGAAGCTATTAACTTCGACTTTGCTTTTGTCGTTGTGAGAGTGGGCATCTCCCTGGGTGAGCTTGCACTCTGCAGCCCCAGCTTTGGGTAGGAACTGCGGACTCTACAGTCTCCTGCCTCTTTCTCCCCTCATGTGTCTCAGAGAGTCCTGGGACACGGCCTTTTGGGAAGCCCAGCTGGCTCCAGCGCATTGGGTGTTCTGTTTTACCTCCTGTGTGTGCTTTTTTTGGTTTTCTTCGCTTTCTTTAAAAGCATTTCCACACTCCCCCCAGCACATCTGAATCTCCTTCCCTATGCAGCTATGCAGTGCTGATTCTCAAAGGAGTGGTAGCGGGGAGGGGCATTGGAGAGGAGTCTGGAAGGGAGTCAGCTCAGAATGGCTCAGAGGACTTTTCAAACATGCAAACATGTGACTCCCTCATTTAGGATCAGCTGCCCCCTCCCCACCCTGCCTCCCACTCACTGCCACCCTCTCTCACATCCTCTTTCCCCATGGCTGTGCCCATGGGGACAAGGCC